CAAACCTGACAAACCCAGGAGCCATTGAGGTTCAAGTCTGTTATCAAGCGGAAGATGATGAAGTGTTAGTGAGCTTTTAAAGTGTAGGCAGTGGTGGACAGACCATAAATAAACTATGAAACAGAAATAAACTTTGTTTTCCCCAAATAAAAAGTCCTGTTAAAGATTTGTGCAATATTTTTGCTGGGTCAGCTCCTGGGAATAAAACGTAAGCTCTGCCAATTTCGCCGAGAAGACGTTTAAAAAATACCGATCCAGAATTATGCAAGACGGTGTAAGAGAGAGCTGTTACACAGAAACATTGATATGAAAGTTGAAAGAAATCTTAAAGAATGTATTTTTTATAAACTTGAATCAAAAAGTATTTTGGACGTTACATCAGAAAAACACAATATTTCCCAACTTCTTCCGAAAGCAGTTGTTTTCACAATTGAATGATATATTTTTTGATAGTGTCATTCAATACTATGAAATGAATCATTAAAAGCTGAATTTGGCATCCATGCCAAGGATGGGGAATAACATCTGAATGATTTAACTCAGCAGAGTATGAGAGATTTAAAAATCTCCAGGAACCTTTTCCTCTTGTTTCAGGTGTTCTCCCAGTCGCTGTGAACATGGCGGCCTCTGCAGTCAGACATGGTCCGTCTTCCATTGTAACTGCTCCAACAGCGGCTACGGCGGAGCCACCTGCCACAGCTGTGAGTAACCTGCCAAAAGATGTTAACTCAAACTCACTGAGCAGCAAACGCTCACAAGATCAGAATGCATGCATCATTGAAGTCTAAAACTTAAAATGGGAAACTTACCAAGTTTCACCTTGTTAGATTTCTGCAATGTTCTTAGTAAGAAAACATTTTAAAAACCTTCGATTTAAGTGAGTATTTTGGTATCCTGTTCTTCCTTTCTTATACTGATTTTACATTATTACAATAAGAACGCAAAACGATCTCTTTCTAAATATTAAAAGGTCATTAAATCAAAGAAGGACTATTTTGACCTAAATATCTAAGGCACTTGTAAAACGTGGGTTTAAGCCTTGTATTGTTTTATATCTTCTGTATCTCTTTTTTTCTACTGGTGCAGCTATGTTTGATCATTATTACTGATCTGTTAAGTAATTTTTTTCTGTTGTTATGGTTTAGGAAACTGTCAAGTTAAAAGTGACAGATAGCTGATGACCATTCATAGGAATCCTGGATAAAGTGAGCAGTCACATCTATAAGGAAGGCATTCTGGACATTTTTACTGTAGCTGCTGCCTTTAAAAATGTATAAACCAAATAGATTTGATCCAATTCTAGTAAGTAATTTAATTAATTAATAGATCCTCATTCAGCACTAAGAAAAATAATGAGTTGAACACATTCATGTCAATAGCTAATATTTCAAAGATTTCCATGTAATTTCAACCTGAGGTCAGATTGATGATCAGGGATGCTGCAGAAACTGCACAAGCTCCATCTCAGTTTCTCCTTGCCTTCAGTGAGAATGTCCAATGTCAAAACACTGAACTATTTATAGAATAAAAAACATGACATGTCAACATAGACGCGTCATAACACTTGTCAAGCTTGGCAATGGTAGGGGATGATTTTGGCTTGTTTTGAGGCCACAGGACTTTGACATCTTGCCGTCAGTTGGATAAACAATAACCCCTCTGTTTGTCCAATTATTATAGGGTCAACAAGTAGAGTAATTCAGCACCAGATAACCAGCTAAACTCCTAAATTTAACCTCATTAAAATGACATTGTGGTATCTTAACTGAGGTCCACCCAATTGATACCTCTATATGTCAGTAACTTGCAGCCATTGTCACATGTTTATAGTGCCAATTCACAACACGTCATCTCAAGGTACTTTAGAGACGGTACAAACAAAGCATTCAAATTGGTTAAAAAAGCTTTCTATCTAAGGAAAACCAGCTGATTGCATTGAGTCATTTGCAGGGTTTGTTCCTCCTGGATGAGCTTATAGCGACAATACTCTAATATTGTGACTCTATATTGACTCTGCAGCTACCATAACACAGAGTGTGCATGAAGCAGTTGCAGAATGAGGTAAAACTAGCTTTTGTGCAGCACCAAATCTGTATTTGAGGCAGTCACAGTGGAAGAAAACCCCAAACAACATGGATAATAATACCTAATCAATATTTTCTGATGAAAATATACAGCACTTGCTGTTTTATCTCATCATTTGATTTTGATAGCTGGGGAAAATATGGCAATATATAGTGATACTGCAATATCGTGATAATATCGTATCGTGACCCAAGTATCGCGACATGTATCGAATCGCAACACTCATGCCAATACTCACCTCTACATAGAACCTCTGATGCATGAATATATGTTTATTTAAAAAAAAGTTAACGATAAACTAGCTTCATAGGTGTCTCCCTCTAGGAAGACAGGTAAGCAGACGAGTTCTGAGCCGGTTTTCATGTCAAAAAGAATGAAAGAGAGCACGTAAAGGTAGTCACAGATAAAGCTGAGTCCATAGATATGTCTAGGAGAGAAACAGCACTAAACTGTGAAAAACAGACCCAACTCCATCATCTAAAATTGAAGATGTTGACAGTAGCATCCTGGTTCAGGCCTACCCCTTGCAGGAAGGATAGAAAGCCATATAGGGGGAGTGTTGGCCTAGTGGTGGAGTGGTTGTGCTCTGAGAAGGTTGCAAGTACCCGGTTCGTTCCCCACAGCCTGCACTCTTAATCCCACACTGCTCCCAGGGCGCCCATTGATACCCAAGGTGATGGGTTAAATGCAGGGGTAAAATTTCTCCACTGTGAGATCAATAAAGTTCAATTAAAAATATACGGCACCTGATCAGATGTAGCTACAACAATTAGAAAAAGCAGAAAGAGCATAAAGGTTGGGGTTGAATTACCAAATAATGTGGAATTTAGGGAACAGAGATAGAATGAATGAGAATGACGGTCCCTATGTTCTCCAGCAGCCTTATGGTCATTCACACTGAACGAGATTCTAGGGAATTTTTCTCTTCATGCAAGTGCTGGAACACGCTTGACATTTCGCCAACCGTTCATGTGTCCAACGGGACCAACACTTCACTGCATCTTCAAACAGAAGGAACTTCTATATGCTGCTTACTAGTTTCACCTCATTTATCGAGTAAGTGAAGGTGTTTTATAAACTATGGAAAGGCAAACAATGGTCCACCATCCTCCAAAGATTCTCGCCATGAAGCCCAGGAGATAAAGCTGGGTCATGGTCGCTTCCCATGGTACTTCCATCAACAGGTGGCTGAATGATTTTAGAGCCCCACTTATGGCTATATTAAAATAGCTTTTTAGAAAATCACCAGAAACCTCCTGAGAACATTTCCTTCTTTTTCCTATGTCAACATAAATTTTTATTTTATTTTTTATTTCGAATGAATAAAGCTTTATATACCGTGCACCCATGATGAGTTTTGCTTCCTCTCACGTAACCCGGTTTATACTAATCATGTAATTCACAATGCTAGAAACACATCCTTCAATACTTTGCTCCTCACCGCCCTATATAGGGATGATATGTAAATCATTTGCTCTGGTCATGTTATTCACATTTGGTGTCAAACGCACCATAAGCTTATAGCAGCATAATAATAGAGATAATTCAGGATAACCTCAGCTATGTTCTCAACATAAAGCTGTTAAAAAGGGATCCAATAACTAGTGGTAAAATAACCTTTATTGCTCCCTTGACTGCGAATTCAAAGCTTGGGCAGAGGAGTTGTTTTGCAGATTAAGCTAAAATCATTTTGAAATAAATCAACCTTAAAATAAACAAGTTGTTTTCTATTTCAAGTCAAAAGAGATAATTGAAACTTTGTACACATAACTTGGAGGCAGTGAATTTGCTACAAGGTAGGCTTCTTTCCTTCATTTAGTTTCAAAGCAACATATATAAGCTTTATGCTGACTACATCAGCTCTCTATAGCAAGTTTTTTTTTTTTTTTTTTGAGAGGATAAGTTATCTGAAAAAACCTCATTGGCCTTATTCTGTTAATCAAATAATTCCTTAAAATTTTTGGGGCACAATAGTTAAGAGAAGGTGTTTTTAATCAACCAGCAGTAAGGGTTTTAGATGAATGGCAGGTATTATTTCTGTAGTTTTAAGGCAAGCCAAGTTAACTTGTAAATTCAAAGTGCCTTACATAAATTTAACCAAGTAAAAACAAAGACATGATAAAAGTGAGTGTCAAAGTAAATTCCACAGTTGGATCATGGCCTTAAACTGGTACAGGGTTTCATAAAAAAATCATTGAAAGTCATTAAATAATTGTTTTTAATTAAGGCATTAATTGGCATTAAAATGTATGAAATGTAATTATAGTGTCATTTAAAATGCTTTAAAAAAAAAAGGTCCAGTAAAACAGTTTCGTCAGATATATTTTATCAGATATAACTGATTCCGCATGTTTGCGTGGAACTGCTTCCAGTTGATCATAAAGCCGTCAGTTTGGAAAAGGAGTATGAGGTGGAGAAAAAGTTAGAGAATAAGAAAATACAAATATTAGCAGAAGTGGCTGGAAAAAGTGAAATTCAGGACATGGCTGCAGCCTGTCGACAGTTAAGATGAAGAAGGATTTTGCCATGTTTATATATATATATATTTATAAATGAGAATCATTGGTACTTGTTGATGGCATTACAATAATTTGCAGGAGCATTAAAAAGAAGCATCAAAAAGCATTAAATTAGAGTTACTCATTCCTTTATACACTCTGTAATAATACCTCAGTTAAAAGTTTAACTTAAACAGTCAATCACAAAGGCAGCTCTACATAAATAGGTTGTTAACACTGACTTAAAAAAACTCAGGCTTTCAGTACTTTTACAGTCTGCTGGATGTTTGTTTCAGATAAGTTGTGCATAGGAACTAGATAAAGGAGATAAAGAGCTTGACTGCAGCATGCAGATATACAGTAGCTAAAGGCGGGTAGACTTATGGAGGCTTTACTGAAAGGTGCTGGTCTAATACCTTCGTTCTGTCTTTATGGAGCCTGTGCTTTTTCAGCCAGCAACATTGTCTTTCTTTGCATTAAGATTTGATCTGATGAACAAAACTACTTCTTGTAAGTTAATGTATAAAAATATTGCAACAGAAGTAGCATTTTCCAGTTCTTGAGAGCTACTATCCTGTAACCTTTAGATGCATCTCTGCTCCAAGATACCTGAAAATAATCACTTATTACCAACCCTCACTAAAACAGAATGTCTGGAAGGCGATGTTTCCATTTAGCCATTTTATTCATGTGTGTTGGAGAGGAACTGCTTTAAAAGCTTGCAGGATATTAGCTCTCATGAACTGAACTTGGGCACACTGGTTAGTTCTGTATATTTCCATGTGAAGCATTAACCATTGACACCCACAGAGAGTGGTCTCCAGTCCTGTCACAGCTTTCGGAGGTGTGTTTTCTGTTAATGTTTGCATTATTTTCCATCCAGCTGTGTATCAGCAGTCCTGTGAAGCGTACAAACACAACGGAAACACATCAGGATATTTTTACATCGATGTGGATGGCAGTGGACCCATCAAACCACAGCTAGTTTACTGCAACATGACAGGTAAGACACACACACATATACACATATATCCGTCCCTTGCTATATATAGTGACCGCCATGTGTTGACTTCCATTTATTTTTTGTCCTTTTCAACCCTTTCTTTTCTTAACTTTATTTTTGTTCATGGAATTTTAAAAGGAACCAGTAAAAAAAAAAAAAAAACGGTGAATACAGCAGACAGGGTCCATAAGGCTCAGAGTCACACAGACATCTTCAGTTCTGTGTCATGGCTAGCTCTAAAAGTATCAGTTCTACTATATAAAAAATGAGATACCTGCACAGGACATGACAAGCATTTTTTATACTTTACCCTCATATAAGATCTCCAAGGTTTCCACTTCCTCTCACATTTGCATTAGCATATCACAGGGAGAAGGTCAGAAGTTTCATACAATATATCTCCTTTACAATCTCTTTCCATCTTTTTGTCTGAAATAGATGGAGTTTTTTTACTGAGCTATTTCCTGGTTAACAGAGATTGTATAAAGTGTCTGTCGTGTTTCTTTATATTTGTTGATAAATTCCTGAGATACATAAAACCTATTATTGGTCTGATTTCATTGATCATATTTTCCTAAAATGTTTACATTTTAGGACTTTCACAGAAAATGTGAAAATGTCCAGCAGATGTATTCCCTCATATCCTCTAACAGTGACTAAGATCAGGTCTGTTGAGCTTAGAAACTTTGATCTCTGGAGTAATAAAAATATCTTAGAATATTTTTCCATATAAACTCTCCTTTGACCCGAGCTTGTAGTAAATGAATGTGTTTTTACAGGTTTTGAACAGTCCTAATCAGTTATCTTTATATTAACTCTCGTCTTTTTGTAACATATGTTGGGGAGTGAGTTTTCTCCAGCTGCAAGGATGTGTACACCCTGAAGATTAGATTTCTGCTGGCATTACCTTTGTACTTTCATAAATGATTTTATCAGATTCAAGCCTCTTTTCGTTGTCCATTTATTGATATTGTAATAATATTTTCTCAATTTAAGGTATCTGAAGAAAACAAGTTTTATAGATTAAAGGAATTTCTAAATTGTTGTAAGGTTATTAATCCTTTATTATTTGTTTTTTGATAATAAAGCAATTCTTGGTTTCTCCAGTAATTAAGTCTACTGTCTAGATTAGATGGTATGAATTCTGAATCATACTTTATCCAGTATAGAATTCAAGTGTTTTTTTCCTATTTCCCTGTCCTTGAGGACTTTTTTCTAGAAGTTCAATACTGCTACCCAGGGAGATAGTTTAATCAAATTATTATTGAAGATAGAGGTATATCTATCAGGTTCTGTACTGTAGATTTTCACTCAGTGTCATAGTTATGTTATGCTGCACCATAATAATCTTCTATGCAGGGTAGACCTATCCCACCTTTATTTCTTGGAACTTGTAAGGCTTTATTGGTGTTTTCTTATCCCAAATAAAGGATGAAATCATTTTATTCCATTCGTTGAACTGCATGGGAGGCATATCCACTGGCGGTCGCTGAAAGAGAAAGAACAGCCTGGGTGGTCTGTTCATCTTTACTGCCTCTATTCTGTTATACATCCTCATTGGTAATGGTGACCACCTATTACGGTCAGCTTTGGCATCTGCTGTGATTGGGCTATAATTATTGTCATAAATGGAGGTTAAGTCTTAGATATATGAGTACCTAAATATTTTATTGTGCTGGTTTATCCACTGAAATTAGCATCTCCTAGAAATGTTGCCTGTAGGATTGTAGTGAAAGGTAAGGGTCTGTATTTTCTCTATGTGTAGTTTGCAGCCAGAATATAATCTAACTTTTTCTATGATGAGTACAATTCTCATTAGACATATCTCTGGGGAAGTGAGTGTGCTGATTTTCTCCAATACAAACTCCCATTATATCATTTTCCTCAGAATCAAAGGTACATAAATAATAGAGAACTAAGGGGGCATCCCTGTCTGCATCCTTTTTCCAGTGGATATTATCCTGTCTTTGCATCTTTATTGGCAAAACCCTTAGAAAACATAACTCCGAACTAATAAACTTGGATCAAACAGGAGTAATAAAAAATAGACAAACAGTCTATAGTCTGTGTTTAATACTGAGAAGGGGATCTGTACAAGCCACACTCAGTCCTATCTTTACCAGTTTTAAGGATTACCTAAATCACAGCTTGTCTCCTGGATACTGGTGTTTCCCCTCCTTGCAGGACAGAGTTAAAACAATTCTTCAGAACCGGTATTAGTATTTCTCCAAAGGTCATATACCATTCTAATGGGTAGCCATCAGCGCCTGGCATGTTTTATGATTTGTAATCTGATATACCTTTATTTATTTCCTTTTCTGTTATTGTCTAAGTTAGTGGTTTGTTCTGGTCTGTTCCAATCGAAGGGAAGTCTAAAGGTGATAGGAAGCCTGCCACTTCGGTCAGCTCTGCGTCCTGAGATTGGGCAAGGGGAGTTTCAAGGGATCTTTAACCTTTTCAACCTTTTCTATTCCCAAACCCTGACAATAACCCTTATTTAACCATCTGTAGTTCATACCTAACCCTCACTTTCATGGTGAAAACTGAAAAATGGTCCTTACTGATATCAAAACAGGAGCACACAAACTGAAAGCAAAAATATCTTGAATAGAAGGGTCTTTCTGAATGGAGTTTACTTGTTCTCCCTGTGCATGCAAGGGTTCTCTCTGGGTACTCCGACTTCTTCCCAAAGTCCAAAAAAAACATGACCGTTAGGTTAATTGGCTTCTCTAAAATTCTCCTTAGGTGTGAGTGTGTGCGTGAATTGATGTTTGTCTCTGTGTTGCCCTGCGATACACTGGCAACCTGTCCAGGGTGTACCCCGCCATTCGCCCGTAGACAGCTGGAGATAGGCACCAGCACCCATCGCGACCCCAGCAGGGAAGATGGATGGATGTAGGGCCTAAACTGAAGTCAAAGAGAAACAAATGAAGGAAAAACTGATGCTATAGGCTAACCCAACTCGCTGAAGCTCATTGTAGCAACTAAAAATTGTACTAGTCATTTGCATTTGGCACACATATCAGTATGTATGCTTTACAACATCTGGGTCTGCTCCCTATTAGAATCTTGAATAGGTCATTACTGAACTCCTGGAAATTTAGAGATAAAACCTGGTTGCATCAATTAGACCTAAACATGTTGTCAGGGGAGCATGAAGACCAGCCAGTGGCATCAACTCTGTCAGTCTCTTGCCACAAAAGACTATGAATGGGTATATAAAATAAAAACTGTTCAGAACACAGTTCTGTGCTCCTCTTAATGGATGTACTGTTCCAGACACTATCCTTCTATGCAACCAATCATGCTGAACAATGTTGCATGCAGCACAACATTCATTTCAGCTGTCTGATGGACATTGTAGGCAAGACAAAGCAGCTGTTGCAGTAATCAATTCTACAAAAAAAAAAAAAAGACAATGTGAATTTTTGCAAATCCTGCTTGGACATTAGTTCTTTAATCGTGGAATGTCTTTCAGGTGATAAAAGGCTGACTTAGTAACTGCCTTTATGCAGTGAAGGTTCAAGTCAGAGTCCATCATGAACCAAGATTTCGACTATAATCAGTTGTTTCTAGCTTTATAGCTGAAGCTGGGAGCTAACTCTGAATCTCTCCTTCTTTGGTCTGAAAATTATTACCTCAGTTTTGTTCTTATTGAGTTGGAGATCTTCCATATATTGATAGGTTCATAGTCAACTGGTGAAATTGTGATGTAAAGCTCTATGTCGTCTGCATATTTATGGTAACTGATGAGTTTGCTATAATGTGAGCTAAAAGGAGCATATAAATCTTGAATTGGAGGGACCACAGAATGGAGCCTTGAGGAACCCCCCATGTGATTTTTCTGGTCTCTGATTTAAAATTCCTTCTGACACTTAGTGTTACAAGTCCCTATCCTTCAGGTAGATTTAAACCATTCCAGTGCTGTACCAGAAAGGCAGACCCAGTTTTCCAGTCACTTTAATAAAATCAAGTGATCAGTAGCATCAAAAGCTGCACTAAAGTCCAATAATAGCAGCACAGTGGTTCTTCCGGGGTCTGATTTTATATGAATTTCATTGAACACCTTAATCAGGGGAGGCTCTGTACTGTGGTTGGCACGGTAACCTGACTGGAAAACATCAAAGCAGCTTGTCATTAAGAATGCGCTTAACTGTTGAAAAACTTTTTCAATAATCTTATTGATGATGGGGAGTTTTGAGATGGGTCTGTACTTCTGCGGGTCCAATTAGTGTCAGTTTCTTTTTTTCAACAATGGTTTGATTATTGCTGTTTTTAAGGCCCAGGGGAAAAAAACACCAGACATAAAGGATCTGTTGATTTGAATCGTATCAGGCTCAAAAACAGGTAAAACCTTCTTAATAAGCTGTGGGTTAAACATTAAGACAACAGAAAGAAGAGCTTAGCTGCTGAATAGTTTCTTCTAAACTTTTGCAGTTTATTTGGCAGAATTGGGGCATTTCAACAGAGTTTTTTCTAACCGGAGACAGTACTGTTACATTGAGTTGGTGTTTATGTGCAGACTGCTTTTCTAGTATCTTGTATTTTCAGTAAAAAACTTTGCACAGTCATTGCAGGCAAAAGATGGGTGGTTTTGTTAACCTGTCGACTGTGGCAAAAAAAGATTTGAGCATTGTTAATGTGTTTTTTTGTTAATCTCAAAGAAGAAAGATTCTGTTGCATCATTTAGTTGTAAATTTTATTTGTGAAGTTTCTCTTTATAGATTTCATAGTGAACCTCAAGTACATTTTTTTGCCAATTTTTTGCACCCCATCTTTTCTTTTCTCACTGCTGCAGCATTTCTCCATGGAGATTTCATCTTTCCAGAGACAGCTTTCACTTTAGCAGGAGCAATAGATACAATGATGTCTGCAACTTTAGAATGGAATGTTTCAGAGATGACTAAAGGCAGTATGCCCTGAGGCTCCCCTCATAAAGTCTATCTGATGATATGGTCAGAGTGCTGAAGGTCACTCTCTAGGACTCTGGCAGTACTTAGTGTGTTCCTCTTTGTAAATGAGTTGAAATTTGTGAAATTCACATTATTGGTTTTGTTTTAAGCAGGTTTTATATTTAGGGAAACTAAAATCTTAACCAGAACTTTTATACTTGCAACTAAAATTTAGTAAAAAGAAAAAAAACCTTGTCTGTGTGTAAAAGTAAAAAGGGACAACAAAGAGCCTTTCATTTTCTGTTAAAGGCAAGAGGTTTTTTTTTTTTTTTATCAATTCAGTTTTAGTTTTAAACCAGTTTGCAATAAATGTTCTTTAAAGGCATACAGTATGTCTGATCCACAAAAATGTTACATATTAAAATTCTTGGAGGGCATTGATATGTTCATAAATGATTAAGACAAAGGTTTTATGGTTGAAAGAAAATTAGTATATTATTTTAATGAAGTGATGATTATTACATGTTATATTTATTGGTCTACAGATAGTGAGACATGGATGATTATCCAGCACAACAACACTGAGCTGACCACAGTCTCACCTGCAGCTGGCTTGGACCACCACTCGGTCCACTTCAGTTACTCTTCTGAAGAAGAGCAACTTTTAGGTTCAATCATCCAATCAGAGCACTGTGAACAGGAGTTATCCTACCAGTGCAGGAAATCCCGACTTCTCAACACTCCAGGTAACAAATGTTTTTGTTTTTTTTGTTTTTTTGTTATCATTTTAGAGCAGAGTGGTTTAATGTGGTATCATACACCATGAGGAAAAGCTGAAAGTAGAAAACTTTTTTTTTTTGTGTCATCGTAAGTTTGATGTTTGTGCATAGGGGGGCGTAATGCACAAAATATTTAGCTAAGATTGGAAAAGCTGCATGGCATATAAAAGCTATAGATGCCTCATTTTCAACAAGGAGCGTAGGTTTTTTTCAGGCAAAAGGCAAGGCAAGGCAAATTTATTTGTATAGCACAATTCAGTACAAAGACAATGCAAAGTGCTTTACATGGTTTAGATAAAGGAAAATAAAACAGAATCAAAGCAAGTAGGAAAAAATAAATAAATAAATAAAATAAAATTAAAAATGCGGTGCATAAACCAAGCTTAAGTTCACCACCACACCCTAACGTCCATGTTTTTCAAAATTTTGGTTTCCTTTAATACTAAGAGTTAGAATTAGTCATTAAAAAAGGTCATCCATTGTCAAAGCAATACATGGCTAAACTAAGCTGTACCAGCACCAAATGTTATTTCATATTGATGCAATTAAAAATTACGTGCAAACAAACCTTAATCTCCACATGGACCATTTAAAGTAAACCCATCTAAAAAAGAACTTATTCAAGAATAGTCTTTTAAAAA